ATTCAACTGCTTTAACCAAATTAAATTTCATCAATTTTAACAGAATCAATTGATCATTCAATTTCAATAATATCAAGAAAAAACTTTCAAACACGTATCTATAAAAAGAAAGTGAAAACTTTAGAATGAGACGGAAGGAGTAGCTAATTTCACGTGCAAAATGTAGGTGATAATGACCATACTATTAGAAAACTAGCTACTTCAAATTTAGCTTTATTTTATGGAGCAATTCCCCCCAAGAAGTAAGGCTACGTACGTGAACATTTTTTCTACATATTTTGAATAATATATTCATATGTCACAATGTCGCATTCATTTATGCAATATTGAAAATCTATCTTTTTTCAATACCAAATGAGTAAACCTCACATAAGAATGTATACAAAAATGTAAATCTCCATTTATTATGTTCTTCTAATCATTTAATGAAACAGTGATATTCTATGTAAAATACGGAGTATGGACATATATATTGGAGATTGGCCGAGTGTATTGAAGCCAAAGAATTTTTTGTGTGTATAAAAATACCTATATAAATTTTCTAGAATTTTTTTTTGTAAATAAATTTGAACACCTAAAATTTGAAAAATAAATTTGAACACCTAAAACTAACATGGTAGATCCGCCACTGTTGAAGCCTGATCCGGTATATGAGTTTTTTGTACTAAGAGTTTGAATCCCTACCTTTTCATTTTGTGGATAGTATAATTTCAGTTATTATTATTTTCTTTTGCAAAATTTTCAACTTCGTTTTATTTTATTCTTCACGACGAGGATTACGCCTTGGATCATTAGATAGGAACCGAAGAAAAATTCTAAAGGTACACACTTTTTGGCGTACACACTTTTTACACATGTCTGTGTAAGGTTTTTTTTATGTCTTTACAGACATAACGTATTTTTAAAATACGTTATGTCTGTACAGACATAAAAAAAACCTTACACAGACATGTGTAAAAAGTGTGTATACCAAAAGTGTGTACCCCAAGTCCAACTCGGAACCGAAAGAATCGAATTGAATTGAAATTGCACAAGATTAAAAGGTTCGGTGCTCCACATTGAATTGTCAAAATTACAATAAAAATTAGGTAAAAAAGTACTAAAAAGCTATAAGTGTTTGATTTTGTTGGAATTAGGTCTCAACTATATATATGTGTAAGGACATTAAATAATGACTAAAAAAGCATGTGTAAAGAATGGGAATGTTGAAGGGGATCGAACACGGGTCCATTGGCGTGCGCCAGAGGAAGGTGCATGCATCATGGACCATTCTTTGTACATGCACAGGTTGTTATCACTTGGTCGGAACTCGTACGGTCGGTACGGAGTATGACGCTATGGAGCAATGAGAAATAAATATTGACTTGATAATATAGAGACAGTATGACAACGCTGTTTTTTGGTTTATCAAGCTTATCAGTCAACTTTTTCATCAAACACGTAATTTTTACTTTCGCGCGCTGAATCGTGTAATAAGTAGAAAAAGTAAGGTTGAAGTTACTTTTCTGGTTGTATTGGCTGAAGTTACTGTAGATGACTATTTTGGCTAATTTTACATATAATTTTTTCTTTATTTTATTAATAAAATATATTTTTAAAATATTTTTTTCATAAAATAGCAGAATCAGCCAATGCAGCTACTTCAGCAAGAACTTCATAAATTTCAGCTGAATCAGCCAAATCAGCCGATTTTTGTGCTACCAAACAGGCTCTTAGATTTTAGAACATTTTTTATTGGAAAAATTGATTGTAATAATCCCAACTATTGGTGGTCCGCTCAAAATAATCCAACTATCGATTATTTCAGAATAATCCCAACTTTAGGGACCTTCCGCCAATAATGGTCCGACGTGACTGAAGATAAATAAATTTCTATAGTTTCTAAAGAGATATAGCAGGTAATTCCTATAAATAATTCCAAATTTTAATTTTTACGCTTATTTTCTATTAAAAATATACTTCTTAGAGCAGGTAATATGCGATCATGGACCATTATTGGCGGACGGTCCATATAGTTGGGATTATACAAAAAATAATCAATAGTTGGAATTATTGTTTATTTCAGAATAATCCCAACTTTAGGGACCTTCCGCCAATAATGGTCCGACGTGACTGAAGATAAATAAATTTCTATAGTTTCTAAAGAGATATAGCAGGTAATTCCTATAAATAATTCCAAATTTTAATTTTTACGCTTATTTTCTATTAAAAATATACTTCTTAGAGCAGGTAATATGCGGTCATGGACCATTATTGGCGGACGGTCCATATAGTTGGGATTATACAAAAAATAATCAATAGTTGGAATTATTGTTAGCGGGCCGGCAATAGTTGAGATTATTATTTTCAATTTTTCCTTTTTTATTTGAGTCAAATTATCCATTTCTCCATAATTTGATTCTCCGGACTCCAGAGAAAGAGTTACTCTACATAAGTAAAACAGGTGAATACAAAAAATGTACGACAGAAGACAATACATTTCTTGTGTATATTTATTCTCTATTCTAATTTCTTTTACCATTCGAGCATGGGACATCATGCTCTCTTGCCTTCAAATGTTTTACTAGTATGTGAGCGTAACCTCTGGGGCGAATCCAGGAATGAAGAGTGAGGTGGACTAAGCACTAAAAACATTTGTTAATGCACACAAAAGGTTTAGCAGAAAGTTGTTATCGAACCGAGTTTTTTTCGAACTACTCGGGCTTTGAACTCAAACACGAGCTACATTTTGAGTTGGAATAGTTATTCAAGCCGAGTTTGAGCATAGTGATATTCAATTCGATCCGGACTCGAGCCCGTCGATAACTCAATATAGAAATAAATTGAATTATCTTAAAATTTAAATATTTTTACTGCAATTTTATAAATCTATTCAAACACTAAAAAGAGAATTAATAAGTCTACTTTATTCAGGCCGAGTTCAAGCATAAATGAATAGACACTATTTTATTATCTACTAAAAAATTTAATTAATAATAAAAAATCGCAAACTAAAAAACCAGAAGCAACTGGTCGAACTTGGCTATGGACATCTAAAAGAGTATTAGAGTATACACGGACAGCTGGACAACTAGACTCGACTAGAGGCAGCTAGTCGAATTCAAATAGACTAGAGAGGCAGAGCCGTATTGAGCTACAGGCTAGAGTCTCGGGACTCTGGAGGGACTCCGACGACCGACGCATGGCCCAGGAAGGCAGGTCACGACGTGATGGGTGCCTTTGTTTGTGACTTCGTGTCTTTGTGGCTTTACTGAGTTGAGACTTTCCAAGATTTGTCTTTTGCTTCTTAGTCGTTTTATAACAAAAGTATATTTCTAAACCTATAAAAATCACAATAATAGTTCTAAATTTGCTTGTTGCAAAAACTAGAACTAGGTAGTAATCTAGATGATGTTTGGGGCTTTGGGCTATAAAAATGTTTGGGCAGCCTTTTCTTAGTGTGGACTGAACATTAGTTTTGGAGTGGGTTGGAAATTAAATCTAATTCTATATTAATAAAAAAAATTAATAGATCCGCCTTTGAGCGTAACTCGTTCGATAGATAGGGAGTGACACATGAGAATATATCGGGATCGATTCTTCGTAACTGTGATGAAATGTCACTACATAAAAATGCATAGAATCTTTACCAGTAGTAAGTGTAGAGCACAACTCAGTATCTATCAACCTATAATTAAAGTTCAATTTATATTCTCTTAATGATCTTAATGATGACGAAAGCTCTTAATGATGGAGTGTGGTCCTTTAAAATGTTTTACTAATTCAATTTTGTGTCGGCACAATTTCAACGAAATAAGTTAATTTGGATACTATGGGTAGTATTTTTCAAAGGAGGGAGGTATCAAAATTCCAAACCACGTACTCTGTATACTTATATTGTAAAAACCGGACCGATGAGTGACCCGGTCAAGTGACTGGGTCACGGCTCTACTCGGACCCGGTGGGTCAACCCGTCAACGTCAAAAAATCGGTCAACGATTATAAGTCTATATAAAAATAATAAACATATAATTATATACAAAATTATAATAAAAAGTAATTATTAATCATAATAATTAATTAACAATACTACTTATTAAGCATTTAATTAATACACTCTCATAATATTTCAAAGTATAATTTTGATCCTATAAAAATATATAATGCTATTTTTATTTGTATTATACATTTATACGGAGTATTATAATTTGGCATGATTTTCATTTTTAAATAAATATATAGATATATTACATATTTTTTCTTTTTAGGGTATTGAAATTGCAATTTTATTGGTTTAAAAAATGCATTAAAATTAAAAAGAAATTATTTTTTATTTTGGAAAAGCACCCAAAATTGGGTTTTCCCGGGTTTTTCGGGGTTCTTGGGTCCAGGTCCGGGCCGGGTTTTCCTGGGTCAGCCGGGTTTTTCCGATTTTTGACCATTTCCGGGTTTTGAATAAACCGAACCGGTTTTTTGTCCGGGTCACCGGATTCCGGGTTGACCCGGCCGTGTCGGGTCGGTTTTTTAAACATAGCTGGGAAAAGGGCCGGATAGGCCCTCGAACTTATATAAAAAGGTCAAATAAGCCCTTATATAGGAGGCTCTGTCCGGCCGTCACCATTTGGGGCAGTTTCCTGTGGAATTTTTTGATGAAATTGTTTGAGCATCTTATTCATTAAGTCTAGTTTAATCATACAAATTCCAGCTAAAACTTCAATCGGGAAGGCATTCAAATGAATGTTGAAGATAACTGCGCAGTTATCTTCAAGAATTAATTTGAATGCCTTTCCGATTGAATTATTAGCTGAAATTTGGTATAAGTAAACTAGACTTAACCAATAAAATGCTCAAAAAATTTCATTAAAAAATTCACCGGAAACTAACACAAATGAAGAATACTATATAAGGGCTTATTTAACTCAAGTTATAAGATCTATTTGACCCTTTTCCCAATGTAGCCATATACAAGAAAAAGAGGACCCCAGTAAAAATCGCCATCAGAAATACAATCTAAAACCGCCCCCTGTTTAAAATCTTCTTTTCTTCTTCTCCAATGTACCGCGCCTATAAATCCATTGCGACAATAGCTCATCATTCTCAACCATTCACCATACCCCGATCTCAGTAAAAAGTATTGTCTCTTCCTTTTTCATCACGTGCTGCCTTTTTGGTCAATTCCTGAGCATTAGCTATGGACACAAAGATCGGATCTCTCGACACGTGTAAGCCAGCCAGCAATGAAGTGGGGAACGCTCCGTCAAATGGCGCGATCACCCTGCACAACTCCTCCGCCCACTTCAACTCCGCCGTGGCCACGCTCGGCCGCCATCTCGCTCGCCGTCTCGTCGAAATTGGGGTCAGCGACGTCTTCTCCGTCCCCGGCGACTTCAACCTCACGCTCCTCGACCATCTCATTGATGAGCCCGGGCTCAACCTTGTCGGCTGCTGCAATGAGCTCAACGCCGGATACGCCGCTGACGGCTACGCTCGGTCCCGCGGCGTCGGTGCATGCGCCGTCACTTTCACCGTCGGAGGGCTCAGCATCCTCAACGCCATTGCCGGCGCCTACAGTGAGAACCTCCCTGTCATATGCATTGTTGGCGGCCCCAACTCGAACGACTACGGCACCAACCGGATCCTGCACCACACTATCGGGTTGCCCGATTTCAGCCAGGAGCTCCGCTGCTTTCAAGCCGTCACTTGCTATCAGGTTTTAATAATCAATTTCAGCTCCTGTCGTTGTTTTTGAAAATGCATGATTATTTGTATCTCTAGTTAATCAAATGTCTTATATAATCCGCGTCACGAGTAGATCACGACTATAATCCTATTATCCTAATCGCTAATTGAAATTGCTTTTAGGCTGTGGTGAACAATTTGGAGGATGCTCACGAGCAGATCGATACTGCCATTTCTACGGCATTGAAGGAGAGCAAACCTGTTTACATAAGCGTGAGCTGTAACCTTTCTGCGATTCCACATCCCACCTTCAGCCGTGAACCGGTTCCATTTTCTATATCTCCTAGGTGTGTAGTAACTTTGATTTCGTAATCTGTGATTAAGTGTTTGACAATTTCTGTTCGAAACGATCAAGTTTAATAATGTTGCCTCTTTTGGGGGTTACTGTAGATTGAGTAATCAGATGGGATTAGAAGCAGCGGTGGAAGCAGCAGCTGAGTTCCTGAACAAGGCAGTGAAGCCAGTTATGGTGGGAGGGCCGAAATTGCGTGTGGCGAAAGCCTGCAAATCCTTCGTGCAGTTGGCAGATGCTTGTGGCTATCCCTTAGCTGTTATGCCTTCGGCCAAGGGTTTGGTTCCCGAACACCATCCGCATTTCATCGGAACTTATTGGGGTGCCGTTAGCACCACCTTCTGTGCAGAGATTGTTGAATCCGCGGATGCATACTTGTTCGCTGGACCAATATTCAACGACTACTCCTCCGTTGGCTATTCTCTGCTCCTCAAGAAAGAGAAGGCGATCATAGTTGAGCCGGATCGGGTCACGATTGGAAATGGACCTGCATTTGGTTGGGTATTCATGAAAGATTTCCTATGCGCTCTTGGGAAGAGACTCAAGCATAACAAGACTGCTTACGAGAATTACAGTAGGATTTTTGTTCCTGAAGGGAATCCTATCATGTGCGCTCCAAAAGAGCCGTTAAGGGTGAATGTTCTCTTTCACCACATTCAAAAGATGTTGTCTGGTGAAACGGCTGTTATTGCTGAAACAGGGGACTCGTGGTTCAATTGCCAGAAGCTGAAATTGCCTGAAGGATGCGGGTGAGAGCTCTTCATTTATTATTATTGTACGAGAAAGAATTCAAATTCAAAATTTTCAGCAAATTAACTCCATGGCTTATTCACACTATTAGTTTCTTGTTCCACAGGTATGAGTTCCAAATGCAGTATGGGTCTATTGGTTGGTCTGTTGGTTCAACTCTGGGGTATGCTCAAGCTACCCCTGAGAAGCGGGTGATTGCTTGCATTGGCGATGGCAGCTTTCAGGTAAATATGAATATATGATGTCAGTTGACTGCGACTAATGGTCCCTTTGGTTTTTATGTAACTTTCCTTTTTTGGTTGTGTATGCAAATTTTCATTTTTTTTGTTTTAAGATTTAAATTAAATTAAATGTTACACCGTATATATGTAGTATATTGGAATGTGTATAACAACCTAAAATACTCTTACACAAGCTTAAAGTACGCCCCATTTCTCCTTTTCGTAATTTTTTATTCGAAAAAGAAAAAAGAAAGGTCTGATTTTGCCGTTGTGGACTTGAAGCCAAGAATAGCAGTAGTAATGTAGTAGTTGTACGGGTTCTATTCCTAACAGTCTGTTTGAATGAAGTGAATCGTATGGGTTCTATTCCTAACAGTCTGGTTGGAATACCTTAAAGTGAATCGTATGGGTTCTATTCCTACAGTCTGGTTGGAATACCTTAAAGTGAATCGTATGGGTTCTATTCCTAACAGTCTGTTTGAATTTCTGGACCATAACTTTATCAAAAGTTGTTTGGATATTTATAAGACGAACCAAAGTGAATACCTTAAAGTTTGTTTAGATGGGGTTGATCTTGATGAATATGTCAAGTTCACTTATTAAAAGCATCTAACCTTCTAAAACATTCGATTAAGAGGCTCTTAAACTGGATTATTGGAAGTTTTTGTCGGTTCACCTTGTTAAACTATGATTTTTGAAATATAGTTTGTTGTCATAAAATAGAAAGTAAATGAGGCGATCCTAGAATCAAATCTAAGTGAACATAGGTTCATCTCGAAATGGACTATTCAAATACAACGGTTACAATGTTGTTTTGAATTTCTTGATTATTAATTACTACGTATAATGTCAATCGGACAAATACTTGCAGGTGACTGCTCAGGATGTGTCCACAATGCTGAGGTGTGGACAGAAGAGCATAATATTCCTGATCAACAATGGTGGCTACACCATTGAAGTTGAAATCCATGACGGACCATACAATGTGATCAAGAACTGGAACTACACAGCCCTGGTTGATGCGATCCACAACGGCGAGGGCAAGTGCTGGACTACCAAGGTTAGTAATTAACATTATTTGTCAAATGCTTGATTTTCTTTTTTCGTTTCAAATATTTTATGGTGAGTGAGACTTGATGGCTGGCCAGGTTCGTTTCGAAGATGAGTTGGTTGAAGCAATCAAGACGGCGACTGAAGAAAAGAAAGACAGCCTTTGTTTCATTGAAGTGATCGCTCACAAGGATGACACTAGCAAAGAGTTGCTGGAATGGGGTTCCAGAGTCTCTGCAGCTAACAGCAGGCCACCAAACCCTCAGTAAATCCACAGGAACTTATATTGGAGATGGCATTCTATTTTACTTCAGAGATATTGAATTATGCAGCCATGCAGCTTATAAGCTGTTATCTTTGCCCGTTCTTTTGTATTCTATTTAATCGCGTCCTCCCTCAGTATGAGTATGCTATCCAGTTTAGTTATTCTCTTATTAAAGAGTGGTACTCTTTCTTGAAAATGTATTTATGGGCTTTTCTTGTTTATAATTAATTACTCCGTCATACTTTTGTTTCTCTTACCGGGAAGCTACTCTTTCTTGAATGGATCCCTTAATTTCACGCTATTGGATTTTGGCTAATTCTTTGTTAGTAGGGAAAACTATCAAGTCCTCATACTATAAAAATAAGTCCTCGTACTATAGTCAAAAAGTTAATTTAATCCTCATATTATTCAATCACTCAATTAACTCCACTTACTTAAAAGAACACCCAATTATGCCTTATAGCCGGTAACAAGGCGTTGAGTGATCGGTTGTTCTCTTTCTAACTCTTACGTGACTTTAAATAAATTTTTGGGAAATTTTAAAGCATATCAACAACCCATGCCATCTTCATTCCCATCACTCTTAATAGTTCGCAATCTTCAATAGCGGATGCACTGGTTTCAGCTAGGTGACGTGCACTTTGTCACGGTGCGTCAAAATAAATTCAATACTAAACACTTATACGTAGTATAGCGTAGTAGAGTTCGTATCCACAGGGAAAGGAATAATTCTCTTTTTATGATACTTGGTAAATAAAAGGGGGGATTTGGATTGAGTGATTTAATTTAATTAAGAACAACCTATATGTGTTTAATTCAAAGATAAAAAGGACTTGGCATTGCTACTTTCCACTTGTTGATGTATTTAGTCGATCATTGTTGTATCTATAACTTATTCCCTCTCGAATACTCAATCGGGGAGTATATCCACTTCATCGAGGTTAGTTATTAACAACGACCGTTCATTAATAACCCTTACTATTAATCAAATATAGAACAACGCCTTATACCGATTTAATAGTAGCATTTAATCTTTCTAACTCCTTGATGAAATCAATTGAGATTGATAACCTCAACACAAGCGGTTTCGGTTTAACCAACAAAATTAATCCCTCTTAAGTTTATTAACCACGACCGTGCATTAATAAACCGAAGTTACTTATTTGTGAAACCATCAATGATTAACCATCGGTTCGTTGATCGTTTCTAGTAATAATTAATATATGAAACAAAACTAGTTGATCCTTTAAGTAATGTTCAAAATATTAATATGAAATAAGAGTAGGAATTAATTAATACTCAAGGAAGAATATTATTAAAGAAGATGAATCCTACTATAATTAATATCAAGATGTTAACTAATTGTCATCTTAGCAACACTCCCCAACATTAATATAGAGGAAGAAAATACCATTCTAACTAATGTCGAGATGTTAACTAATTGTCATCTTAGCAACACTCCCCAACATTGATATAGAGAAGGTATTAAGGGAAGAACTATTAATTAATATTCAAGGAAAGAAGTTAAGAAAATAACTCACAACTTTAATAATCAACAAGCTTCAAGAGCAACACCAAGAATGGAAGTTTAGCTCCTCATTTGGAGACTAAACATAGCTAGAAAAATATAAAGAAATGCTATTCTAAACTGAGCTTAGGAGTATGGAAGAAGGGATGATTTTTAGAGAAGAAAAAGTGTGATATTTATAGGTGTTTTTCAACACCTTTGGCCGGGTACCCGACCGGGGCAAGTACTCACCCGACCGGGTCCATGTCAAAATCAAATATCCTCCACGTTCTGGCGATCTTCAGCATGTTAAAGTGTCTGGGTCAAGTCAGACCCGACCGGGTGGGGTAGGGGACCCGACCGGATGAGTGCAAAAATTGGATATTCTTCACGTTCGGGTGATCTTTGCACACCGGGTTGTCCCCGGTCACTTCTCACCCGACCGGGTGAGGTAGTGGGCCCGACCGGGCCATGCACTTTCTTTGCATTTTCGTTTTTCACCTCTTACCCGACCGGGTCAAGTATTATACCCGGTCGGGTATTTGCTCCTGGGCAGCCAAATCTTCTTTTTCTTTACTTCAAAGTCTCCCTTTCCAAAACCACAAATCCTAACTAAACTTTACAACTGACAAATAAAGATTAAGATACAATTACAACTGAAATCACATAAATGTTTAAAAACTAAATAAAACGTCAAACAATTAACATAAATCAAACATAAAAACATGTAATTATGCACTACTAATTAGTGTGCATCACTAGGGATGGACCAAACTGGCCAGACCCGGAACTGGGCTGGCCCGCTACTGTGCGGGTCCAGCCCGGCCTGGGTAAGTTATGGGCGGTTCGAGCTTTGAACTGGCCCGGGGGTAGGGCGGTTCGGGCACGGTTCAGGAAAAAGGGGCCCAGCCCGGCTGGTCCAGGCCCGGTCTGGACCTAACGGCTCTAATTTTTTTTTTAAATCTTTGACAGCCAAACAGGCCTAATAGCCGTTGTATTTCAACCCAAAAGGCCCAATATTTCTATACAAAAAATGATATAGAACTGGTGGGGGTACAAAAAATCTATAAATACTCCATTTTTTTCTATACAATTTACTACACATCTCCAAATATTTCTACTCTCTAATCTCTATTGTCTACTAATCTTCTCCATCTTCATCTTCTCAAATTTATAACTACATATATTATATTTATAAAATTTATTATCTACTTATTATCTACTTATATTAATATGTAATAATTATATTATTCTTACTTATATTTATTTACTTATATTTACATATTACATATATAATTATCTCTAACTTATTTACTTATTATATTTACATACGGAGTATTACATATACTTAATATATACTTTAATATATATATATATATATATATATATATATATATATATATATATATATATAAAAAGTATTATACATAAGTGTATTACTTATCTTATAGTAATATACTTATATTGTATATACTATAAACATAATATTATATATTACTAGTAAATCTACTTATTATCTACTTATAAATATATATATTAAGTATATCTACTTATACACTTATTATCTACTTATCCAATTGCTTATACACTCTCACACTCCCATTAATTTAGTTTACACACTCATACATTCTTTATTAATATAAAAATAGTTAATTGTTTCACTTATCATTTTAGTATTAGTTCATTGCTATAAAAGCAGTTAATTGTTAGTTGTTAGTTTATTGGAAATAGTTACATTAAAATTTGTTAGACAATAATTGTTTGTTTAATTGTTAAACTAGTTAATTGTTACATTTATTAATCTCCTATCATAGTAGTTAATTGTTACATTTATTATTCTCCTATAAAACTAATTAATTGTTACATTTCTTATTCTCCTATAAAACTAGTTAATTGTTACATTTATTATTCTTCTATAAAACTAGTTAATTGTTACATTTATTAATCTCCTATCATAGTAGTTAATTGTTACATTTATTATTCTCCTATAAAACTAGTTAATTGTTACATTTCTTATTCTCCTATAAAACTAGTTAATTGTTACATTTATTATTCTCCTATAAAAACTAGTTAATTGTTACATTTATTAATCTCCTATAAAACTAGTTATTTGTTAAACTTGTTAAATAAAGTTGTTACATTTTAAAAGAAATAGTTCGAATTTTTACATTGCATTATTATTTAATTGTAGTTAAGTTTATTAATTGTATTTCGAATTGGTAGATTTGTATTTCAAATTCACTAGTTTAATTGTACTTTGAATTTAATATTTGTTATATTTTTATGATGGAACGTGCTAGAGCTTCTGTAGATATGGGTAATCTCCGTCGCAATCGAACAAAGGAGATTGCGAGGAATCATCCAAGGTCACGCAAAGGTAAGGGAGAGGCCGGGTCTTCATCTCAAACCCGAGATGATTTTGATGCGGATTACAACCAAAAATATGGGGATGCGATGTCCGATGAGCAACTAGAACAACTATTGCAACAAAATCAAAGAGGTTTTTTTCATCAACAAGACATCCCACAAACCATTGACGAAGAAGAGCTCGATGATGATGATGCGGAGAAGAGGGATCCGCAAACGGTCGAGGACGAGGTTCATGGCACACCGGACGATGAGGAAGACCAAGCGGAAGTGGCTACTTCTTCACAAGCAGGTGAGAAATCTGAATCTGTCATTAAGGCTAATTTTACAAAAGTTGAAGATCTCGAAACCGAGATATGGTACGCCACTTGCAAGCATTTTAACAAAAAGTATAACTTGGGAATTTCTGGAGGGTACGGGAGCGCCACAAGGCATCTTAAAGCCAAGCACCCGGCGAAATATGCGAAATCGGACAAAGGCAAGGGAAAGCAAATACAAATTTCAAGGTTTGCAACTGGCCAACCCTTTGGTAATTTCTCCTATGATGATCAAAGACATTTGACTGATATGTCTCATTTAATTGTTGAAGAAAATTTTCCTTTCATTTTTTCTAAAAGTCTTGCTTTAAAAGAATATTTCGAAGGTGCTATAAATCCTCAATTTCGAAACTATAGTCGCAAAACAGTTAAAAAGAAGTTATAAGGCAATATGTTTTGGAAAAGCAAAAATTACAAATGTTTTTCTCAAACTTTGATGGACATGTTAGTATATGTTGTGATATATGGGAGGATACTCATCATCATTTATATTATTTGGGTTTGACTGCACATTATATTGATGATGATTGGTGTATGCATAAACGTGTGTTCGTGAATTTAATGATCGACACACCGGTGATAATATTTATATTCTCATTGAGCGTATTTTAATTGAGTATAATTTGATTAATAAGATGTTTGCTATTGGTTTTGATAATGCTACTAATAATACTGCTGCTATTTCTAGATTGCGTGAATTGTGTGGTTCATCTTCTTTGATGGGTATATTTTTTCATCAGCGTTGTGCATGTCATATTTTAAATTTATGTGTAAAGGACGGGCTAGCGGCGTTGGAAGATGCTATGGAGGTGGTGAAGGGGGGGATTAAACTTATTTGGGCTAGTAATCAACTTAAGATGCAATGAATAAATTATTTGAAAGAAAGACGTGTCAAATATTGTGCTTTTCCTAAAGATTTGTCTATTCGTTGGAATAGTACTTATAACTTAATTAAGGTGCTTGTTAGATTTAAAAACCATTTTCTTGCTTTTTAAAAAAAGAATATGCTAACTATATTATAAACCCGATCGACATCGACACTTGTGAAAAAGTTGTGAATGTTTTGGTGTATTTTAATAATGCAGCTCAAACTTTTAGTCATGT